GATTATTAGAAAATCATAAATTCATACACAAGTATAAAAATTACATGAACATAAATAGGAACGCAATATTTTAACAAAAACTACCACGTAAAACTCATTGGAAAGCAAAATTACGTACAATGCTTCAACAGAAAAAAAAAGAAAAAAGAAAACACTTACAAGTAAATAGCTTTTATAAGCGACAGCCATGTAAAAGTTAAATCCATAGAGCAAAACCTACTCAAATTTAAAAACATGTAAAACATGAATTCAAAATCACATTAAGAATAATTAAAGAAAAAATTAAACTTTATGTTAAGCAAGCACATTTTTAATTAGATAAACTGTTAAAATTCAGAGACGAAAAAAGATAAAGTCAGAAGAAAAGTCACTGTAAGTTAAAAGTAAAAGAAATTAGAATTAAAAAAAAAAATAATAAGATGTACGAAACGTAAAAAAATCTACGAAGCAGTTACTCCCAAAATACTTTAAAAAAAGTTAAAATTGTAAAATTTCAAAAGTTCAAAACCACAATGTTATGATATATATTAAAACTTAAAATAGAACAAATAATGCAAAATAATTTAAAGAAGGTATAAATATACGATTACAAAAATCCCATATACACCCGTAAAAAATCAGAAGACTTTCATTCAAGTTGATAAATGTAGAATATCGCAATAAGAGAATAATAGAAAACACATGTAAGCGCTTTTGAAGAACGTATTCCGACTGAAGTGCGAAAATAGGGAATTGTAAAAACTGTAATATATAAACTTTAGTTAATATATAAACTTTAGTTAAATTCTAATCAGTGAATTAATAAATATCACATTGATTCCTCCAAAGATATGAAATATATGGTTTACACAATTGTCAAGCGCATGAAAGTAAGACACATTGGAACTAAACATAAACTATACTATAAAACAAACCCTTGAAAAGATAAAGATAAACTTTTTCTCTAATTTTTAGATATTGCATATTAATAAAATTTTAAAGCGACTTATTCTCAAATGTAATGATTATTTTATTAAATTGCAGAACACATTGAAGTTTGTCAAAATGCATCGAAAATGTTAAAATCACAAATTAAATTGAAATAAAGTATATAACACTTATAAGCAATTGGTTTAAAAAAATATGATTTTAAACTTCTAAATGTTAAACACTAATAAAATTGAAAAGCTGAAGTTTATGTAAAGTAAATTAATTTTAGGCCTATGTAAGGATAAAAAGCGGTATATAATTGTAAATTATTGTAATTACTTGTGTAAATTCTACGATGATTTGTATATTAAGTATGACATAAAAATTATTCCAATTAAATAAAATTTATTTTCTTTACATAATATTTATTTTTGTTACATCAAATTTATTTATTTTACATGTTTTGTTGTAAATTTTTTTGTTCATACATTTATTTTAACAGGTTTTATTTTGTGTGTGTGTGTGTGTTTACACATTTTTTCTTTCATACATAATTCAATTTTTTTTTTTGTATGACATACAATGTTTTTACGATTTGTATTTTTGCCTAAAAGTAATGACACATTAAAAGTACATTTTGATAAAATTTGTTGTGGTCCAATAAAAGTGCATATTCATAACATTTTTTGTGGTTTACAAACTATTGCTATATACATCAATCACATGAGTCATGAGTAACAATAAATTAACAGAGCACTGCGGTGGGCTTAGCTAATTAAATAGAAACAGGTAAAAATAGTATACGTTTACTATATCTATATCTGTCGCGACTACAATCTCTGAAATCTTACAAAAAAAAAAGCGCTATGGTTATAATATAATTACACAATATTTCCTTATAACAAACACGTTTTATCAACAAATAGACGCGTTTCAAATATCATATTGTGTAAGCTATACCATCGTACTAAGTATTGGTACTTCTCGTAAAGTGCAATACAAGCAAAAATAACACGTTCTGATTGTTTAATTTAAGGCATAGGCCCAATTTGATAGGCGCTACTAACAGTTTCATACATTTTACAACTACAATATATACTTTCTCTCTTTTTATTTTACAAACTTATTATTAATAACGAATTAAATAGAAGCAGATAATAAATTTTTTACTATCTCATCTTTTTGTGGTGAATTTATTGTTGATTTTAGTCGTAGTGATGAATGGCAAACATAGTAATGATCATCATCATCATCATCCTCCGTTACTGTGAATAACCTCAGTTGAGTATAGTCGTATAATGTGTTGTACAGCACTCATATGTCGCTGTCAAAAGTGAAAGAAAGGGATATATATAAATAAATAAGTAAATAAATAAATATAAATAAAATTAAATAAGTAAATAAATAAATATATAAGTAAATAAACATACAATGGTGAATCTTGCGATCAGGACCGCAGAGTTGATGATGGCAAACGTGGGAATTAAGTTTGCCCGTAAACATGTTAGTAAAACCAACGACAGTAATTCTAGTCCACTGTAAATATGATAGAAATGGAGAAAATTTGATTATTTCTATCGTAGTGATATTATAACAAATACAAAGATTGGAAACGTGGGATTGACGGTAACAAAAATTACGATGACGAACTTGGTTGTGGAGACTGCATACACTTTTTAATGTTACATATTCATCATGTAGCCATACCATCATACTCAGTATTGGTACTTCTCGTAAAATGCAATACAAGAAAAAAAAAATAACACGTTCTGATTGGTCATTTAATTTAAGCCTAGGCCCTATTTGATAGGCCCTACTATGAACAGTTGACATTTTAAACTACAATATATACTTTCTCTCTTTTCATTTTTTCAGGCTTATTATTAATAACAAATTAAATAGAATCAGACATAATCATTTTTTACTATCTCATCTATTTGTGGTGAATTTATTGTTGATTTCAGTTGTAGTGATGAATGGCAAACATAGTAATGATGGCAAACGTGGGAATTAAGCCCTCTTTATTACCATATTATTTAGAGTTCGAGAATTAAATTATTTGAATGGTGTCAGTTTGTTTGAGCATATTTACTCCACTAGTTGAGGCTTAGGAGCCTAGTATACAAAGTACAATAATAACACTAAATATGAAAAATTTCAACCCAGTGTTGTCTAAATTTGCCCTTAAACATGTTAGTAAAACCAACAACAGTAATTCTAGTCCACTATCAATATGATAGAAATGGAGAAAATTTGATTATATCAATCTTAGTGATATCATAACAAATACAGAGATCGGAAACGCGGGATTGACGGTAACAAAATTACGACGATGAACTTTGGTGTGGAGGTATTGATGAAGAATATGTAACATTAAAAAGTGTATGCAGTCTCCACAACTGACAAAGCTCATAAAAGTTAGAAGAATATAAATATTGTACAGAGTTATTCTAAGGTATTGTTACATTATAACATAGAGCATAGAGCAAACATAGCCGTATAGAGTTTTAGTAATAGTAATAATATATTGCATCATAATTAAAAAGTTGACCTTGGCATTTATACATTGCACATTAAACGATTACTTTTTAATGGTTTTAAAACATTAAAAAGTGTAGATAAAATATATATAAGATTGAATTAAGTTAACAGTTAAAAATCTACTAAAAGTTAGATTAAATATAAAACGAAAAGTTAATAGCATTGAATTGCACATTTTAGAAAGAAGCATATCAAATTAGATAAAATACACCTCTCCAATCAATGAAAATGACATCAATATGAGGAGCTGGTTCCCTCTCATCAAGATTCTGTGTCCTGTGGTGGAGAACACAGCCAAGGAGAAGTTATGCAGGATCAATTTGACAAGACCATGTTGACAATTAGAAATCCCCATGTTGAAGACATGTCGGGATTAAAGGAGTGAAGATAGTACAATGCACCCACCAATTCAAGACTCCTCTAAAATATCCATATTTTAAGATACCTGAGTATATATATATAATCAGTTTTATTCAGAACCAACAAGAACATGTTACAAAAATAATAAAAGGAAAATATAAATGAAACTCTCTAGGGTCACGTCCTTAAAATAACGACAAGGGAGGGGACAAAGCCCAACAGATCACAAAAGATGAAAGACAAAAGAGGAATCTTTAAAACGGGGGGTCATTCATTAAAATTGGAAATTTCAAGCCCAAGTTATTGGTAAGTGAATGTACAGCACTCTTATAGCCAAGATAAACATAATTTTGAGTACAGTATTGCCTTCTGAAGTTATTTGTGCATTGTTAAATACAATTAAATATCAAAATAACGTTAAATAAACAATTTGATGAACTTTTCCAGAACTAATACTTTGGGACATGATTAATAAGACATTAAACTGTTGATCCATAATAGTGGAAAACAAATTTGGATTTTCAGGAAATTTTTTGAGCTCCCATTTTTTATAGCTCATTTACTCAGTACTGGTCTGTGCGACAACTTAACCATTTCACCACGACATGCCTCAATTAAGTGACCTCCTGAGGTGCAGTTATTGTTACTTGGTCGGAGCTTGTGATGTATTGGATGGGGGGAATCTCAGATGGCATCTTAACTTGTGATTTGCTATGTTCCTCTTCCTCTGAAAAATAATGTAATTGTATTAAAAAAAAGTGATAATCTGCAATAGGCCTGTATATATACATACCCGGAAGTCTCTGCCTCGCCAAGCCAGTGCTGCAAAGCAAACAAACTCGGAGACGCTGCGGGAGCCCCGGGAAGAGTGAGTTTGTTTCTGTTTATGGTTCATAATAGGCCTATGTACTTCTACACTCACCACACCACCCTAAATTCCAGTCACAATCCATTTACACAATATAAGCATGCTTATCTGATTATTGTGAAACCAGTCTTAGAATTGGGTCCTACTTTATCTTTTCAAATTTCCCACATACACATTATGTAGGCTTAATATGGGTGTCTCGAAAACAGAGACCTTGAAACAGAGACCCGTGACTGGAGACCCACTCGAGAACACAGACCCACCTAGGGTCTGTTTTTGAATGCCGGGTCTCTGTTTTAGAGTACCTGGGTCTCTGTTTTCATAATCAATACTAATATATAGAGACCTAGCAATACGAAAACAGAGACCTCGAAACCAGAGTCCCACTAAAAAATCATAAAATTACACTCGCAAGGTAGCCTATACTGCAAATTCTATCGACCGGACATGGAGTATACAGAGCCTATAACTCGGTTTCACTTGATTTTTCTATACATGCCCAGTCATGAGTGTCACCTAACATTAACAATGGCCATGGAGTCTCATCAAAGAATATAGATAGAGGAAGAAGGAGTAGCTAGCGTATTTTACATTACATAATTGTAATGCTTTTTCATATCATGCTAGCCAGGCCCTCTCGCGCAGTGTGTGAACTGCCTATGTTGATAATAATAATTACAGGTAATAAGGTAAGGATAGGCTGCTTGCGATACCACTTTCGACTTGCAGGGGACAGCCTTTTCTAAACATTATAAAGAGTATATACTATTATTTTATATTTTTTTATATTTATTTTTTTGCACACTTCATTTTGTATAGTTATATGAAGACGATTATATATATTTAGGTAATATATATTCTTATGTATATAAGCCTATGTTTGTATCGGTTGCCTTTTATGTCCTATTATCTAATAACATAACATTACATAATCTGCTGTTGATTGAAATTTATTTTATAATGGCTTGTTTATATAATTTAGGCCTATTTATCAGTTAATTTTAACTTGTATTTATAACTGGATAGCTGATATTGTATATTGAAATATATTTATACATGGAGAAAACTAATACAGTACAGTACTGCACTGAGGTGGATGCAGGTGGGATGGGGGTGCAGATGCTGCAATCACACCCTCTAAAGTATTAAGAAAAATAATTGTTGGATTTTATTGTTGATATTAATTAAAAGTTTTTTAGGTACGAGAGTGAAATTTCCGGGCATGCAGAGGTCTATATATCACATTTTTTTGCACCTCAGCCCCAACTATGGTGGGGCTGAGGTCTATTGTCGACTCTCATGCACCGCCTACAACCAAATCCTGCATCCGCCCCAGCAGTGTTAGCCATTTATTTTTTGGTGTAAAATTGATACGTCGTATATAGTGTAGTATGTGATCATAAATACTTATTGATCCCTAACCAGGTTGGGAAAAATGTTAATGGTCAAGGTCAACATCGTCGTCAACAACAGCAACAGCAACAACAACAACAACAATAATAATAATAATTACTTGGCTTAAAATTAAGAACTCTATAAAAAATTACAAGCTGTTGTAATAATGCATTTCATAAAGATTGTCAAGTATCAATTATGAAAACAGAGACCCATGCATTTGAAAACAGAGATCCAGGTATTTTCAAAAAGAGAGATCCGGCATTCAAAAACAGAGACTCTCGGTGGGTCTCTGTTTTCGAGACAGCCGGCTTGATACAGTAGGTTTAATTCGACTTACCTTTTTGACAACAACGTAAGTACACAAATACAATCACAAGAAGACCCACAATAGGACACAAAATAGCAATAACTGAAATTAAAGAAAATATAATACACTTAAATACAGGGTATTTAAATGTATAATCAAAACAATAATATGAAAAATAGTAATAAATAAATAATAAAAATAGTAATAAAAATAATAACAATAGCAATAAAACAATGGCTACAACTACAATAATGGCAAAAATAAAAATTGTGCTCTATTTTGATGATTTGAATCTCATATGCACGATTAACACCTTTTATACTTGGCACATGGAACTTGGCTTAAAGTCAAATGTTAAGTTTTAAATATTTGTGTTAATAAGAACAAAATTTTACTTCCTTAAATAATATAAATATTATTAGTAATCATATTTTTTGTTTATAATTTCTCATTGTGATCTTGGTATAATTATTGACTCAAAGCTTAATTTGAATGAATATATTAAACATATTATTTTAAAGCTAATAGGATATCAAACTCGTCAATTGCTGGCATCAAAAATGTAAATACTCATATCTCACTTTTAAATTCCTTAGTTAGAAGTTGAAACTTCTACAGTTAATAATAATAGTGTACATTTGTACATTTTTACGATTGCACAGGTGGCCGTAGTTTAACAAAGAATGACCAGCCGAATACGGCCAAAATGTAAGCAGGTAGGATAGACAAAAATATTAAAATGGTGTGTGTGAAAAGAAAATTTGATTATATGGTTTAACAGTCACATAATAATACGAGATAAAGGTATTTTGAATGGTATTGACTTTGTTTCAGCCCTAATATTTGAAAATGTTTAAAGGTAGGCAAGGGATTCACTCAAATTCTTATAGACTTAAGCCAAGCGCTCATTGCACTGGCAAGGAATGTAACTCTGCTCTCTGTGAGCGATAGACAATGCAACGTCATTTGTTGATTGTCGGTGGCAGTCTACCGAATGCAAAGAACATAAATAGCTATTTATTATCTTTGCTGATGTTCATTAAAAATGACTCAACGTGTTGTCACGTTGCGTTCTTTATAGAATTGCGTGCGGCTTTATGGGCCCCAAAAACTTGTTGCTCCACAGGCCCTAAGACTCATCGTTAAGCCACTGAAGAAAAAAATGTTTTTACCTAAATTTCTGATACTGCTTGAACTGTTTTCCTTGAACTTGAAGTGACAAACAAATTCTTGAGAATGGTTACACATAGCAGGACCAGTCAATGTGCATGTCAAATTTTTATTCACTTCGATTTTCCTATCTATACAAATTTGTGAATTAAATTTCCCGTCATCGGTTACATTATACTGCGGGTTTGTATCATTACACTCTCCATTCAGTTCACAAACTACAGTTACTGCATTCACTGGACTGAAACAAGCCACCGTGAATGGTACAATGACCTGGCCATTTTCATTTGCATCTACTTCACATTTATTGTTTTCAAATCCCTCAAAAAAGCTGTCTTTTGGTGTACCTATAAGAAAAATATAATTTAGAAATTTAGCCCTATGATTAGTGCAATGATCCCCTGGATTTATTTTGCTCTGTCTTAATCCAATGTAATTTCGACTATGTTGTGTCTGCCTGGTATGTTAGTAAGTGCATTTCTAAAAAATAAACTACAAGTAACTCTAAATAAGATTGTAAGGTTTATTCTGGACCTTCCCCCAAGAGCACATGTCGAATTAAATGAGTTTAAACGTGTGATAAGCTTTCACCTTGGAAATGTGCATCAACCATGATTGTTATTATTGTACACTTTTAATTTTAATTCTTAATTGCTTGTTTATAGAACCCCATTGAAATTCAGCTGTTTTCAGCTTTATGGGTTATCCTGGCATTTTGTCATTGTTGTTACATCTTGGTCCTACTTTAAAAAACTGTAATTACAACAAAGACTATAATTACCATATTCCTGTAAATTGAAACATTTTATGATATCTTCATTTTTGTAGACAGTTTTGCAAACAAATAGATGATCCCATTCTGATAGATTTTGGACTAACAATGTGGAATTCATATGGTTAAATACATATCTGGCATCGGACGTATTTGATAGTCTCCCATCCACATTAGACACAATCAATTTGCCATATCTATCTTCCCAGTACTCTGCGATAGGCCTATCGTGTTGCCCGTTATCACATTTTAAAACAGTTCTTCCATTTATGCATACAAAGTTTGTTTCTAAATTATAAGAAAATAAAATATCATTTTGTGATAATATCATCATAATCAACACAGTCCTCGTCATCATCACTTTGAGTATTGTCAGTAAATTGGCTACTTATTTGAATAGCATTTACATGATCATTACCTGAATTTCCATTTAAATAAAACCAAAATTGCTTATTTTGGAATTCAAATAAAATAAAATAAAAAAAACTGATAAGTTTTTCAATCATCATCATTACCATTGATTTCCCGGGTAATTTTGTTGGTTCCACCGCTTCTTAACTGCCTGCTTTTTGTTTTGTTAGTGTCTTTTGGTGAACTGCACACATCATCAGGATAAGGTTCACCTAAATATTGGAAAAAAATATGCCAGAGCACAGTTAGACAATACTAACACATGGTTAGTTGCTAAATCATTTCTATCTGGTTCACAACCTCGAGGCTGGTGTTTCAATCCTTTGCTGTGCAATTTGCTTGTGTCAAGGCAATTTATCTACATTGCTTCAGCATACCTGGCTGCTTCACTCTCATCCGCTTCACCCTACAGAAACTGGGGATAAGCTACGGCTACTATAGGCCCTAGTGGCTCGGCAAGGATATACTTTTTTTTACTATTTATGTATTTTTATTAGACATAATGTTTAATAGAACATTCTACAGAATGCGAATTTGGTGTGAAATATTACCTGGCATACTTATTAAGGATACCACTTACTGTACTCGTCTAGAGTAAAATGCTGTTTTATTTCTTTTTTCCTCGATACAACATCACAATAGAATTGTTCACCATCCTTTGGAAATGCTATTTTCAATGATAATCCTTGGACTTCAAATCGGTCAGATGAGGAGTATGTTTTATTTGGACTTTTTTTGGTAATTTTGCAATTATTAACAGTCTGTGATGCTACAACATAATCTGTAGAGTTTTTCCAATATAATTTGGTGAAATCACTGGTAACATTGCAATATATTGTTGCACTCTGTTCAGGACAAAAATATATTGTTTTCACCTCACACTCTACTTCTTTGACTGCCACAACTACAGAGAAAGACAAACAAATTACAAATGAACTGTTACTATAAACACCCAATAATATGAATTCATTTTATGAAAATGTTTTTAAATGTATATCAGTGTAAGGTTTAAAAATATTGTTATTATATTTTTTATGTGTAGTACTATTGTTGATATAAGATGATAATTAACTTAATTTAATTCTTTAAAACCTGTGTATTTTCAAATAAATAGTGGAAGACAAACATGTTTTATTCTCATTTGTATAATCACCAAAAAGCTATAAAAATGTGACTGAAATCTAGTTCCATAAAATTGCTACACTATTTCAATGCAATTGTTACACTGCATAGCTTTCCCTGACGCAACTGGGAAGTCTCACCAATTTCACCAAGCAAACAGTGCTGCCAAAATGTATCGGCAATAGCATGTATTTTTCTTTATTTGGCATTTAAAAAAAATAAATAATGATGAGGGCAAACAACATTTTGTTAGGCATCTTTGATGGTGTTATGATGATAATTTAGTTATTAAATAGTAAACCAATTTAATCTTTTATTTCAAGTTACTGAAAATTTATTTTAAAGATGGTGTAAGATATAAAGAAAAATATATACTGTATTTTTTTAAATCCATATTTACTCTGGAATTTGAGGCAATTATCATATTTTCAAATATGGCAATATTAGTGAAGATGTTGTAATAGCACCGAAAGTTTGGAGTTCCAGTGAGAGCAACGTACTACATGCATAACAACACATCAAATTTCAAACTTACACATAATGATGGTGTAAAATAATCTTAGGGAATTCATTTTCTGTCAAAAAAGAAAAAAAAAAACCATTTACAGCATTATAAAAAATATTTACTTTAATGAATTCTTTGATATAAAAATCAATTTCAATACAGCAGCAGCAATAACAACAGCAACAACAATATTAAAAGACTCAAGCTAAAACTAAAACTAATGAAGCAGGGTTGACAGGCACTGGTTTTGTGTGTGCAAAATCATTATGTTGCAATATTCATTTCTGACACATTCTCTTGTCCCTATTCTATTGTAAATGATCAATAAACTTCATCTGGTTCTTAAAATTAATAGTGAGACTAACAATTTTATCAATACTCAAACTGTAATGTACAATGGCAGTAGTCCAGATTATTCATACAGTATAATAAATAACATTTGGCAATTATAATTAATTTTAGTAAAATACAGGGGTCCCAAGTCTCCTGAACTTCGCGGGAGTCTCCCGGAAATCAGAAAGGTCTCCTGCACTCCCACGAGCAAGCAAGAATCTTTTGGAAAATAACCCTTCTCCCACAAATTCTTTTTACTTAATTGTAATGACTGTATTATCAATAGAATATGCTCCCCTTGTTCATCATTAGATAAGGAGATTGACATGATTAAAAAACTGGTGTCATGGAATGGTTTCCAGAAGTATATTTTCCATTGTATTCTTTCTAATATAAATATTCAGAATAATGTAACTGATCTCAGTGTTAATGTTGATAATAGGCCGAAAATTTGGATGTGTTTACCTTTCATTGGTAAGCAAAGTAGCTATATTATCCATAAATGTATTAAAAAGATGAGTAGACACTGAGGATGTTAAATTTGTTAAGCTATGGTAAACCAAACAAATTTCGTATTTTAATTCTAATAAGGATCGGACGCCGAAAGAGTGTTGTCGCTGTTTAATTATATAAATTCAAATGTCCTGGATGCCTTCATTCATATATATATATATTTCGTCGATCACATCACGAACTAACACAATCAAAATAGATTGTGTTAGTTCGTGAAATCAGAGTAGCGTGTCAAAACGAGCACGTATTGGTTATGGTTTGGACTCCCAACCTTGAGGTCGGGGGTTCGAAACTCTCACTGTGCAAGTCGCTTGTGTCCTTGGGCAAGGCACTTTATCTACGGTTGTCTCTCAAGTGGGTACCTGGTAGGTTCAAACACAGCCTGCGCTGAATACAGCTGCAAAATTATGGAATTCCCCTATGGGGCTTGAGTGTGTGTTGCATATGTGCTTGATCCAGTGATCCGGGGGTAATAATGTTCAAGCGCTTCGAGGTTGTGTCAACGTGAGGCGCTATATAAATCAAGAATTATTATTTTTTATTATTAAAAAGTCTGTAACAACAACTCCGCGTATTTTGACGCGCTTTTGTGATTTCACGAACTAACACAATCTAATTTGATTGTGTTAGTTTGTGATGTGAGCGACGATTTATATAGCACCTTTCTTTGCAGATACGAAGCGCTTCTGTCCCTGGTCATTGGATCCACATGCTTAAGTGTTGCTGCTGTATTCAGCGCAGGAGCAAGCAACCCCACCAGTTACCCATTTATACTCCTGGGTGGAGAGAAGCAATGCAGATAAAGTGTCTTGCTCAAGGACACAAGCGAAATGCACAGCGAGGGATTGAAACCCAGACCTCAAGGCTAGGAAACCAAACCTTTCACGCTGCGCAGTCAAATTTATCTTGTATTGATTTCTGTTAAGTTGGTCACCATTTTGGACTTGGACTATTCATTCTTGACAATGTTCCAATAAAGAACGAAACGTAGAATAAACTATGGCCTATGTCTGTTATTTTTCGGAGTCACCATACTAATATTTTATTAATGTATAATCAGTGGATCCTTTGGTTTTATCAATTGTTGTTTTGTAAAAATGAGGGAATGCAGTAGCATACAAGTACCAGTAGAAAGGGTGGGTCATAACAAAAAAATTGCATCCCAGGTTCTCGTAATTTTCCGAGCACAAATAAATAAAAAATCTACAAAGTACCAAGTAGGTTTGTTAATAACAATGTCAGCGCCTGTCCAATATCCCTAAAAGGGCCCACACTTTCAGCTAAACCATGGTTGGAGTTGAGTTGAGGAAAGCTTTAAAAAAAATCCAAAAAAGAAAGGGGTGTGTCCTGTGTCCGGCCCCGACCCTACCCCACTTTTGGAAGGTAAAAAACAGAAAAAAGAAGAAAGAAAAGAAAAGATTGATCGTCTAAAAAACCTCAGAGGTTATTTTCGGGCATCTACAACACAAAAAGTTTGTGGGGTAATGCCCTGGACCCCTTAAGGGAGTGTTATCTCCATCGGCCCCACTTTTAGTCCCTTTCGGTTGGGGCTGAGGTGAGCAAATTTTAAAAATAGACACCTCTAGATGCCCGAAAATGGCACTCTCAGAGTGTTATATAGGTTTTCCATACAGTGTTCTCAACAGAATTACATGCCCAAGCCTGCTACTGTACCCGGATCGGCCACTGGCCATTGACAGAGCCAATAGTTAGAAATCCTATCAGTGCCCCCCCCCCCCCCCCCCCCCGCCCCACCAAAAAAAAAAGAAAAAAAATATTTTACACCAAAAGTTGGACTCTTTTAACAATGCCAGAGTAGGTGGTCATGTTTCTATTAACATAAAAACTATTCTCTTAAGTACTAAAAAATCGGCTGAAAAATGTATTTTTTCGTGCGGACCAGATTCAAATATTTGGCGGGCAGCAGTTGGCCCGCAGCCAGGGTGTAAATATTAAAGATATAGGCCTACTGCACCTCATTTAATAATTTTGAATAATGAATTTACTGCAGGTGCTTGTTTACTTGGTCATGGGATAATTGTTATTTCCGATTTCTAATATATACTGTACTGTACATTGCACACTCAATTCTGATAATGCAGAGGTCCCAAGTTGGAAGAATTCATTTCCGGGAAATCTACAGTGGCTAATCCAGAAATTTTGAAATAGGGAAGGACTTTCACAGATGTAGGGTAGGCCTACCACCACAGCCCCACTATGGTGGGGGCCAAGGTAAGACTAATATGACTATTGCTCCCCTGACACTCTCAAACATAAATTTTAGAAAATAACTTATTTCCCCATTTTTTAAAATAAATTGTACAAATTTAGGGGCCCGGGCTGGCAGTGGATGGCTTTGTTAACACATTTAATTTTATTACTGCACACATCGGCACCGACTTCCATGAGACAATTGATAATAATAATTATAATAATTATAATAATTGATTATGAATTAATAATTAATAATTGATTATGAATTTGCGGGAGATGGGTTATTTCCGGGAGATTCTTGCTGGCTTGCGGAAGGTAATCTTGATTTCCAGACTTTGAACCCCGGGATATGTTGAGTTTCTCCTGGTAATGCAGCTTTCACAATTACCAAACTCAAGTAGCTCATTAACTGAAAAAGTTTAATCGTGGGTCAAACTTGTGATGATAGCAAAGGATTTCTAGGCAGTACGACTGTAATTTGAAAGAGCAACTTAGCTCAGTCGGATAATCTGGTGGTAGCCACTGTGTGTGCCCTGAAATGTGGAGATCTCTAGGTTCCTGGTTCAATTCCCCTCGCTGCCTCTTCTTGTGTTTTAGCTGGAGGGCTGAAATACAAGTTACAATAGCGCACCGTCTTTCAGATGAGACGTCTAAGCCGCATGTCCCGTGTGCATTTATGGCCCATGTGCACGTTAAAGAACGCAGTACACTCTTTCGGAAAAGAGTAGGGAATCGTTTTTTTGAAGAGGGGGGAAAACCTTTAATTTTGGAGAACTTATAGTCATTAAAAAAAACTTCAGAAGTCAGGAAAGCTCATTTCCCACACACCTATAGGAATAAAATTATCCCTGGGAGAACCCGAACCTCCTTTCCCTTTCGGGTTCATTGATTCAGAGAAAAAAGAATACGTATGCAACTAATCAATTTAATTTTTTTTTTATGCATGTATACACACATAACAGGCCTATTTACGGTAATAAGAATGAGAAAGTTTATTTGACTTTTTTCAAGAGGGGGAAACCTTGAATTTTGAAGAACTTAAAAGTCATTAAAAGCCACATAACTCAAAAGTCAGGAAAGCTCATTTCCCGCCATCTAGGAATCAAAATTTTTCCAAAGGGAGGACCCCTGGACCCCCTTCCTTTTTGGGGTTTTTGGGGAAAATGTTGAAACCCCCCCCCCACCCTCTAAATTTGAACCCAGATCACCCTGATTTATATTCACAGTCATCTTATTCCCAACTCTTGCATTCTAGCAAGTTCTCTTTGACCTTTGGTAGGAGGAGTGGTATGGGTATTCTCCTGGGGTATTTACTGCATATGGCATAGCCTCTGGCTTAAAGGGGGGTGCGAGGATGAAACGATTGATTTTTAATTTAAAATAGAGGGATGGGCGACCACAATGACGGTGACGGCACTCGATTTTGGAGCGCGGTATTCGAAAACGAGACTCGTGAACTGGGTCCCAAAAAAAAAACTGGTGCTACAGGATTTTGAGCTAGTGATATAAGATAGGGAATTTCCTAAAATGTACTGACTTTCAAAGGCTTGCATTCGGTAACCCCATAAAAAATCGTGTCAAACTTTAGATATTCTAATGTAAATTTGGCCGTTCTTTTCATTTATATGGGTTTTCACTTATGAAAATGTCTCAATTATGTGTAAAATAACGATTTGCCCCAGTTTTTATTTCGGAAATTTGCACTAGACAGGGAGTCAGCTGATTCACTCAACCGTAACGAGCTGGTAACGACACAGCCAACTGATGAGAATGGTCGTCGCGAGTGGAAAATTGAAAAATTAGGACTGGCGAAAATATTCAATAATAATATAATAAGTCGAATTATTGAAGAATCAATCTTTCAACTAGATTTGAAATCGTCAATGAGGACGAGTTTGGTGATCCGCCGTACTTTGACCCTCACGAAGCACGCGCCGTGCTGATTGAAAATTATTATATGCTAAACATGCTCTATTTAGTTTTTAAAAAGAGTCATTTTGAGCATTTTAA